CAAGCGTTTAATGAATATTGTATGTCCATGGGGGTAAAGTGTTGAACATCCCGTTCCACATGTCCATACACAAAAATGGATTAGCTAAATCCTTCATTAAACGAATTCAATGGGTTGCTAGACCATTACTCATGAGGTCACAACTCCCGGTCTCAGCTTGGGGACACGCAGTCTTACATGCCGCTGAACTAATACGCATACGACCATCTAGTGAGCACAAATTTTCACCATCCCAATTGCTAACGGGTCATGAGCCAGACGTCTCCCATATTAAAACATTTGGGTGTTCAATCTATGTACCCATTGCACCACCACAGAGGACTAAAATGGGACCTCAAAGGAGGATGGGAATATATGTTGGTTTTGATTCTCCCACCATCATAAAATATCTCGAGCCAACTACAGGAGATCTGTTTAAAGCCAGATATGCAGATTGCCGATTTGATGAATCGGTATATCCTAGATTAGGTGGTGAGACAGACAAGCTGGTAAAAGAACTTTCATGGAATCAAACATCCACACAATGGCAAGATCTTCGGACTCTAGAATGTGATTCAGAGGTTCAAAGAATTATACATTTACAAAAGCTAGCTAATCAATTGCCAGATTCCTTTGCTGACCCGAACAAAGTTACCAAATCGTACATACCAGCTTGTAATGCACCAGTACGAATAGATGTCCCCTCAGGGAAAAGTCAAGTTTCTACAGAGTCTGACGCACGTAAGAAACATGGCAGACCACCAGGTTCCAAAGATAAGAATCCCCGGAAATCAAAGAAAGGTGCAATGATTGAAACCAGGATTCAAGAGAACACAGATACAGCCTCAGCTGATACTTACCCTATCGAACCATCTCAAGAGGTTTGGGACGCCAAAACTCAAGGTTCTGAAGGGATTGATAATAATGAGATCTCAATCAATTATATCATATTCGGTTCTCTATGGAACAGAAAAGATGTTGACATCAATGAAACTTTTGCATACAAGGTAGCACTTGAGATTGCGCACACGCAAGAGGATCTAGAACCCACGTCTATAATTGAGTGCATTCGTAGATCAGATTGGCTGAAATGGAAAGAAGCCATAAACGTGGAGTTGAATAGTTTAAAGAAACGGAATGTGTTTGGTCCGATCTTAAGGACACCATTCGATGTTAAACCAGTGGGAAACAAATGGGTCTTTGTGCGTAAAAGAAACAAACTCGGCGAAGTAGTTAGATACAAGGCACGCCTTGTAGCACAAGGATTCTCACAGAGACCCGGAATCGATTATGAGGAGACTTATTCTCCAGTGGTGGATGCAACTACATTTCGATTCCTCATAAGTCTGGCCATAAGAGAAAACTTAGATTTGCGGTTAATGGATGTTGTAACCGCATATCTTTATGGACCACTGGACAGTGAAATCTATATGAGATTACCAGATGGTATTGAGCTCAAAGATAAGCATGCATCTCGTGATAAACACTGCATTAGGCTGAACAAATCCTTATATGGACTGAAACAAAGCGGACGTATGTGGTATAACCGGTTAAGCGAATATCTCATCAGAGAAGGCTACGAAAACGATCCGATCAGTCCATGCATCTTCATCAGAAAATATCAAAACAAAGGATTTGTAATCATAGCAGTATACGTGGATGACTTGAACATCCTCGGAACATCTGGTGAAATCGCCCAAACAGTTGAATGCTTAAAAGCAGAGTTTGAAATGAAAGACCTAGGCAAAACTAAATTCTGTTTGGGATTACAACTTGAGTACGTCAATGACGGAATCCTTGTGCATCAATTGGCATACACTGAAAAGGTACTCAAGAGATTCAATATGGACCAGGCCCACCCATTAACCAGCCCAATGGTTGTGAGGAGCCTTGGATTGGATAGTGATCCATTCGGTCCAAAGAAGGACGATGAAGAAATCCTCGGTCCTGAAATGCCATACCTCAGTGCTATAGGAGCATTAATGTACTTGGCTAGTCACACTAGACCAGACATCTGCTTTGCCGTGAGCCTCTTAGCTCGCTTTAGTTCGTGTCCAACTCAAAGGCACTGGAACGGTATTAAGCACATCCTTAGATACCTTCAAGGTACTAAGGACTTGGGATTATTTTATTCTAACCATAACAAGGATGGTCTAGTTGGTTTTGCTGATGCAGGATATTTGTCAGATCCGCACTGTGCCCGGTCTCAAACCGGTTATGTTTTCACGCATGGAGGAACAGCCATATCTTGGAGATCCATGAAGCAGACTATTGCCGCTACCTCATCCAACCATGCGGAAATCTTGGCCATTCACGAAGCTAGTAGAGAGTGTGTTTGGTTGCGGTCCATGACTCAGCATATCCGATCAGATTGTGGTATGGACGAAGATAAGGAGCCTACGGTGATGTATGAAGACAATGCAGCTTGTATCGCTCAACTCAAGGACGGCTACATCAAAGGTGACCGGACGAAGCATATTCTGCCCAAATTCTTCTTCACTCATGAGCTACAGAAGGATGGTCAGGTCAAGGTTCAGCAAGTCCGATCAAGCGAAAATTCAGCCGATCTATTCACTAAATCATTACCGACTTCTACACTCCGGAAGCTCATTCATCATATAGGAATGCGTAGACTTAGAGATCTACAGTGATGCCTAAACCAGGGAGAGTAATGCGTGTTGTACTCTTTTTCTTTCACCATGGTTTTTCCCACTGGGTTTTCCTGGTAAGGTTTTAATGAGGCAACGTTCCCCAGCGCATTATAGAGATCCCGGTTTTGTGACAGGCACGGTTACCTTGTCCAAGGGGGAGTGTTATAAACAAATGGACTTCTAGTAACCGGCCCATTAACCATCAGGTTAATGTCTCATGGCCCATTAGGGTTTCTAATGCATTAGTTATGTAATGTATATATACACTGCTTATGGAAATAATAAGATCTGAGTTTTTCCCTTAATAATTAAGATTATTTTTTTTACATAAAATTCATTAATATCCAAAACAAAATGAAACTGAAATCAGGATAACGAGTTTTGCATGCAATTCATTAATATCCAGATAAATTTTCAAACTGAAATCAGGATGATAGGTTTTGAAAAAATCGGGATACTTTCATTGAGAAATAAAAGTTCAACAGTTCTTACTTAATTAAAAAAGGGGCTACGTCAATTAAGAGGTTTGCAAGAAATCTGTTAATATCCAAATTGAATTTCAATTTAAAATCAGGATAATGGGTTTTGTTTTGACAAAAAATCGGGATAATTTTGTTTTGTTGATGAATAAGTAGCATCATCACAAGAGAAATCTATGTCACTTCGTACTTTGTGAGCACGGCATGCTCGGAGGCAACGAGGCAAACATGGCATGTTCGGATGAAGAAAGTGGGAATGATCGATATGATCATTCCTCTTCTATAATCTCTCACTATATATATATATTAATTGTATTTAACAACTTAACATAAGCTTATGTATGTGTGCATGTTTGTATTATCTGTGTTTTACGTTTATATGTGTATAAGATATCTTTAACGTTGAAAGTTCATTTGTTGAATGAAATGCCTTTTTCTGTAAATTACTATTTCTATAAATGCAGTTTTGGTTATTGGAATGAATATAGGGAGAAACATGAATTCGGATTTTAAGATGTGATTATCCAAAAAAAAATTATTTGAATTTTCAAAAAAACATTTTTTGGGCGAGAAGTATTGAACAAGAAAAATATTCGATATGATAAAAATTATCTAAAACAGGTTTGGGATAAAAAAGTGTTATCTTAAAGATAACATGTAGAAAAATGTTTTCTTTCTCGACTTAGATAAACTAACATAAAAGGATTTTGGGATCGGAAATATTGGAGTTGCTTATCCTAACTCTGTCAAACGATAATTATATGAAAGTAAATAAGAACTAAATGATATTGTGGATAATTATAGTTATCTTGACGATTGAAATTGAGATAATGAGTTGGAAAATAAATAAGTACTGTATTATCTAAGAATCCCATTTCAAATTACGATCCTTTGTCACCAAAAAACATGAACAGTTTGGATAACTAGTTGACTAAAAAAAAACAGTTTGAATAATTAGAGTAAGATTATTTCTTTTGCATAAAATTCATTAATATCCAAACAAAATGAAATTGAATCAGGATAACGAGTTTTTTTCTATATAAGAATTACTTGAAAAAAAAAAAATTTCAACAGTTCTACTT